TTGCTGCTCAAGAAACATTTCTGATTATTATCAATGTTGAAAAACGTGATATTCTTTTGGAAAACGTGATATATACGCATATGTCGCATGATAAATAACGCAAAATAAGTCAAATACAAGGATTTATTATGGGGAAGATGTTGACAATTGGTGTAAAATATTTAAAAAGTTTTACTAATAATTGAATGTCATTGTTTTTAAGTTTCTTGGCTTCAAACTTTAAAATGCCATTATTAAAGCTGCAGTTTTCGCCATAAATGCGCCACTGGGATCCAGTGGTTCTGCCACTCCATCTGTGTTTGAAGAGGATGCAGACAGCTGGATGAGCCAGAGGTTCTCACAGACAAGCTGGCGCCAGGCTTTCACACAATCACAGGATATGTAAAGACTTCAATAACGACCCATTAGGCCTAATGATTGAGAATCGATCAGGCGTTAACTCCTCCATGCATATGTTAATGTGGTGCCGGGACGGGCTTATATATATGCATGCCGCTTCTGGAGGCCTGGCAGACAGTCTTGGATTTTACTGGGATAGATTCACGTCCTCAGACACACAGGCAGCAATCATGCTCAATAAGTTTTCTGTCGACTGGCTCGCCCAAAGCTTTCACGATTCGGCGCCTCTGGAGGTTCTGGAGCCGGAGAAGACGACGCACAGGCCGCACGTGCCGTGTCTGGTTCAACCGAGACCGCCAACATCCTACGACAAGGTTTATCTGCAGCCAAAACCAAAGGTTGCCAAAGTTGAACAGAAACCAGAGACCATTAAGGAGAATGAGGTCACGACTCCAAGACACTGCTCATCTCCAAGCTGTAAGTATATGCGCTTCAATGCATTTCCGATTAATGCAAATGGAAACAGAGCGTGTTTTAATATTATATCTCATGCTCAGTTTCAGAAAACAGCGGCTATTCGTCCGGTTATGAAAGCGAAGCGGCCGCGTCTGAATGTGCGTCGCGCAGAATCAGAACCAAGTTCACTCCGGAGCAGATCGACAAGCTGGAGAAAATCTTCAGCAAGCACAAATACTTGGACGCGGGAGAAAGAGTGAAAACCGCGTTGAAACTCAATCTGTCAGAAACTCAGGTGAGACTATTCTCTTTGTTTAAATGCATCATCGAGAATAAAAAA